ACCTACTAGCGATGGCCTCCAACCTATTAGCGATGGCCTCCAACCTACTAGCTGTGGCCTCCAACCTACTAGCGATGGCTCCAACCTAATAGCGATGGCCTCCAACCTAAACCTCGTAGCAATGGCCTCGAACCTACTAGCGATGGCCTTCAACCTAGTAGCGATGGCCTCCAACCTACTAGCGATGGCGTGAACAATGTGTCTACCCGTGCGCAGCCTTAGCATTCTGGTCCTCAAGCCGGCCCGCAACGCTGCAAGTCGAGGAACGTTCTTTGCACAAGCTGCTGCCTGAAAAGCAGATTCCACAGCCAAAGCAAAGTGACTGGAGTAACAAAAATCGCACGACGATCTTGTCCGGAACCCTCAAGCAAGACATGTCGCCCTAAGCAAACAGTACATTCACCCACTTAGAAGACTTGCAAGTCAGTGTTACCTTGGGAGTCAAAGCTGTCTGTACAATGGCCAGGCCGCTCTGAGAGTGCTGATCTTCCCACTAGTCCGGAAGTCCGGGAATCCAAAAATCCAACTTGAAAGATATTGAAACGGTAGATTGCGGTGACAATATAAATGGATGATACAGTACATGACAATAGTGATTTAATTGTTCTATTATTTAAAAACAACAAGCCCAAGAAGTTTCGCCCCACTTGGACGGCGCCCAAGAAACTCCTTTCTCGAGCGGCGGTGTGAAGGGTTTCTTTGAGTGTCGCTTGGTGCATACGCGTTGAACATAGCCTTTGCAAGTTACATGACCCTCATAAAAGGAAACTTAAGCCCACGGTCTTGCGACGCTTTTCTACCAAAGCTTTGGACTCTCCAGTCAACTTGTTTTCGCAGAAGAATGCAAAACAAAGAGCTACAACTGTCGGGCAACTACGTATTTAGGAGGTGAGCCTTCTGATTCTGGGCATATATAGATGCATAAAGGGTCATCATTTTTATGTACAAACTCTCTGTTGTTTTCTGCATTCAAGACACGTCAGAGTGGTAGAGCTGCAATGATGCGGCAGCATTTCAGCAGCATGACGAAGCAGCAACAAAAAGCACGTCACATGATCCAAGAAAAAACAGGAACATCATGCAAATTGCGCGATACTCGGCGCACATTCTCCCACTTCTACCGATACTTTGCGACTGCTCCGTGTTAGTCTGAGGCTTCGAATTCCCGCTTCCGAGCTTGGCATATTCGCCGCCATGATAACTAATATGAAACTTCCAATGAGCATCTGCAGGGTTCTTGTATGGGATGAGGTTGCTTATGCTTGACCAGTACAGCGCTAATGAGAGACTGGGGCAACCTGGACCGAAATGTCTGTCTGTTCATATTGGAATATCCAGGAATCTTCAGCACATGGGCCAAACAAGCAATGCCGCATGCCTGCTTGACAAAATCCTCCTCAGTTTCAGTGACCAAGTCCTCAGCGGCAATCTTCTGTCCCTGGAAAGGGTCTTCTCTATTGAGTCTACTGGCTCACTTCTGCCCACCTTCAGCACCCATTCTCAATTCTGGCTAGTACTAGTAAGCAGAGGCAAGGCACACCGAGCTGAACGGCTGAAAGCAAAGAAGATCCAACATTCTGTGCCTAGGCAAATGACAGCTCAGCTAATCGGAATGACCTAGCTCACTCAGCAGCTTGCGTGAATGCCTCGCCCTTTGAGCGTTACAACGGGCACTCCCATGTAGAGTGCCTTCAATGGAGTAAACAAAATGACAGACCAAGTGAAGCATTAAACTATGCGAGATACAAGAGCCCAGCCTCACAAGTAGTTGTGGTGCCTGCATAAGGTGCAGTATCTAAGGCCACATCAATAAAGCCTGAAATCAACGGAGAATGAGTTCGAAACTAAACTACATTGTCACACCATGAATTCATGTCACTGCTGTACACTTTCGGTTGAGGTCACTGCTGTACATATGAAGATGGCTACCTGTTTGTGGCTGCAAGCCAGTCCTTGTCCCCAACTGATGCAAGCTTGGGCGTGTTTCTCTTGCCTTCGATATGTTTTCTACTGAGTGCATGACAAGTCAAGGCGAGAAGCTTGAATGTCATGCCTCAGCCAGGTGCCATGCTTTCACAAAGCTTGTATTTAAAAAGTCAGTGAAGATCAAGGGAAAACAATTTGTTGAGCCTCAGCCAAGAATGCTGGGCGTGTCACTTTGAGTCTGGACATTTGGTGTACAAAATCCCGGCTCTGCTCACGCCAAGTGGCGCAGCAAAAGCAGCCCTCATCTTTTCCTGCACTTTTGGGCACGCCAATGCCTGGAGCACGTTGATGTATCTGTTCCAGTGTGCTTGATGAATCCCTCAAACTCACCCTGCCTTTGACTTTACAAACAAGCGCGAGTCTGGAACCTTTGAACAGAATGCCCCATGCACATTGTTGGAAGCAAGGAATGCGGCAAGGAATGCGGCAAACTGCTTGAACAGAAACTCTCAGCCTCGTGTAACAGCTTGCTCCACATTCTGACTGTGAGGCTGCTGACCTAGCTGTAACGATTCTATGCCGGAATGCCGCCATAGGTTTAAATCTTGCTAAACTGACAAGCATTCAACTAAATTACAGTTCCATGCCTTCGCTAAATTGTTGAAGCATCCGAAGGTGATGCACCCGTAGGACTCCTGCGCTGGCCTGAAAGTATCATGACTTGGCAGTGAAGCAATGCTATTAAGGCCAAGCACCCTGCTTGAGGACGACAGGCGGTGCAGTCTCGGGAGGGGTGTAGCAAAGAAAGCATTCCTGCGATGTTCGATCACTTCTCGGAAGCATCATTCAGGCTGCCTTGGGCTGCTCCGTGATTTCCTTGTGAAGCCAATCGACTATGCGAAGAGCTCTTTAAGAAAGCTCTCCCTGTCATCAAGTGGGGGACCTAGGTAGCATCCTTGAACAACCCAGCTTACTTTCCTTGCTTTCTCGCCTGTTGCTTACTCAAGTAGCAAACACCTTAGACACGGCACCAAAAATTAAAAAATGTTTCAAAAATATATGCCAAAGTTAGTCGTAACAGTAGTAGTAGTAGTAGTAGTAGTAGTAGTAGTAGTCGTAGTACTAGTCGTAGTCGTAGTCGTAGTCGTAGTGGTGGTGGTGGTGGTAGTAGTAGTAGTAGTAGTCGTCGTAGTAGTAGTAGTAGTCGTGGTGGTGGTGGTGGTCGTCGTAGTAGTAGTAGTAAAAGGTCTATAAAAGCGTATCTAAGCGTTCTTCTTTATAGCAAAAGGGAGTCCCAGAACTGAAGAACCTTTTCTCGCCCGGCCCTTGCAGGTAGCTACTTCTCCCCCTTGTCTTGCCTAGCCTACCTAGCCATGCCTAGCACTGCCTAACCGCTAAAATCTAGGAACCAAATGAATAGTGCGAGTGCTATCCTGCGTCCTGTCGGTAGTAGCTACTTAAGCTACTAGCTACCGCTTGCTTCTACTAGCTACCTCTAGCGGTCTACCCCCCAAAAAAAAGGGACGGTGTATGTATATATATATATATATTGTTATAGTATATAATAATAACAATAACAAAAATAATAATAATAGTAATAATGATAACAATAATTGTAATATAATATAAATAAGTAAATATCAATACTCTGCAGGATGTTTGTTGCGTCAGAGACATTACCTGCATTGTGCAGTTTTTGCGCCGCCAGGAACGCTTGTCTCGTGCAAGACCGCTGTCCGGCAGGTACAAAATCTTTTCGGTTGTAAGACCTGACATAGACAGCACTGCTGTCACAGCATGTATTATTTGAGTGGCCCTTTTTGTATGGACTTGAACCAATGTGTTTTCTGCTGGGTCCAGCCTGGTGCATCCATTGGATCTGCAAACCTTAGGCACTGAAGAAGGACAGCCGAGTCAGGAGCAAAAGCTCAGTTCATGAAGCTCGAAAAACTTCGCAACTGGGGAGTTGGCTCATCTGAGATTCTATAATCCATTCTGGTAAGACCAGTCGTGTGCGGGTAGCCAATCCAAGTGATGCAAATCTGACATGAAAAGAACATAAAAGAACTACACGTTCTGCGCATGAAGCAATGGTGTTGTCAGCAATATTCAATGCCGGGAAGACCGGAGCGGGCTTTCGAGCAAAGACTCCCAATCGGTTGTTTCCAGTGTGCCCAGTCAAGTCAACCAGGATGTCAATGCCATCCTGCAATCGCTCAGGGACAGGAGTATATCTCACAACGTTTAAGAACGATGAGGGAAAAACAAAAGGAATACATTGTGAATTCTGAGATTCAACTTGAGCCTGGTTATACTTATACATAATTGGAAACAAAAGTTGTTGCATCTCTCCTCGTAGATCATCTTTGCAACCTGGCCACAGGGGTCGTTCACCAGACACTCTTTGAGCTCCAAGGAGACTCCGAGGATCCTGCTTCGTCATCAGCACGGCCACACAGATTTCGCCATCGCGGCACAAGCTCCCGAAACTGCTTCGTCTTTTCGTCTTCCAAGGCCACATCGCTGTAACCTGCACCATCTTGAATACTAGCAGAAAGGCTCACACACCCGCTGGGGCTCTTGCAGGTGACATGGACAAATGCCGGATCATGGTGCTTGAGGGCTGCATGGATGAAGTATGAGACCTAACAAACACCACTTGTCAACATGGAAAACAGCACTTTTTCGGACTAAGGCCAAGACCGAGTGCGAATAGAAGTCTGGAGAAACGTAGCCAACCCGCAAGGGACCGCTTGTTCTTGGCCGATCCCAGCTGAACGCCTAGTCACCAGTCAAGAGTCCCCAGCCAATATGCTATCAGAGCAAACTGACCTACGAGAGAAGTTGTTGCGAAATCTTTACCATGTTCATGTTCTGCACCAAAAGAAGCATGGAGCCCTGTAGGCCTTTGAAAAGGAAGTATCGAGAATGCTACTATGACACCCCCTTTGTAGAATGTGGGGCCGAGTTGAACCTCACCACAAAACTTCACCAGTGAGTCATGTGCCAAAGATATGATTTACCCAAATCCACATCGGCTTCCGCAACATGCATTGAGCCAGCTATAGCTTGCTTTCAACAAAGAATCGGGTCCATGAAGTCCTGAACAGTCAGTGGTCAAGCCTGGCTGATGCTGCTTTCGACGCAACTTCCCCAGCTCCTGTGTGCCTGCAGAAACGAAAGTAAAATCATTCTAAGGTATTGAGCACTTATGGGTTGTGATAAGTCACTTGTGTATGCTTTGAGCAACCCTCTCGGAGCGCCTCAAAAACCTCTTCGCGCTTTCTCTCAGATTGGTAGTTGAGAGACATGAGCCGGTTGGAGCCAGCATGACGACTCCTGGCACAGCATGTGCTTGTGTTCTGAACGTTGCTTTTGAAGAAAAAATAAACCTACAAACACAATAGCACCAAAAACAAGGCTGCCGCACTCAGGCTCCAAGCCTTGCTTTTCAAGCAAGTTGTTCAAGCAGCAGTCTGTACCGTTTGGCCGCCAAGAGAAGCACTGATGCAAACGTCCAAATTCTCCAAGCAAGCATCCACATCCTGGAAAGGCCACCCCTAAATCGCATGTCTTTCATCAACCAAGCTGGCTGCCAACATGCTGCCAAAGGTCGCACTGGTCTCGCAACAGAAGGGCTAGATTGTTGTAAGCCTGCGTCGGTGTGTTTCTGAGAATGGCATTTTCCTTATTCTCATGTGAGCTGTCTTATCATGTCCCAAGGCAGGCAGGGTCCAGCTTGTCTCAACACTGTTCATACGAACTTGGACTGAGCTAAATGAGAAGTAAAGTGGAGCCAAACGCGGAACGTTTGTCAAGAAACAGCTGTCTACAAATCAGCGAACTCAGTCTTACATGTTCGGTTCTTCGCCAGCAACTTAGAGAGCCCTCTACTATCAGCGTTTCTGCTCCAGCTAGCATTTTGCATAGGTTATCGCCTTTAAAGGCTCTCCTACAATGCTTCCACTGACTTGAACTGGGGTGAAGAGGGCACCCTTGGCAATGCATGTCTTGGCTTTGTCGTTCGTGTGGCCCGTTGCTATTTGCAGGAAAAGAGTCTTCTAGTGTTTTACATGCTTTCCAGTACCCAAACTCCGAAGAGGAACATCTATATTTGATGGTTTCTCAGCCAGCATAATTTAACAACCTGACGTGCACGCGACCTATATAGATACTTGATTCTCACGCTACCTAAGCTCCCTCTTTTGCTCGTTTTCCTTCTACAAGCGAAAGATTGACTTTCTGGAACAGAACAGCACAAAAGCTTGTTGGCAGACACGTTGCTGCGAGCAAGGCACATGTCCCAACCTGTCATACCTTTTGGTTCAAGAACTCTGCAACTAGCCAGCGTTATACACTTCAAGCTGCTATCAAGTCCCCAAAATCAATTCCCTGTATCCTTACATCCCGCTAGTTAGTTGGCCTTGACAATGTGCGACAGTCCTCGGCAAAGACTCTGACCCATGCGTTGACTTCTAAGTTCGGCATCCATTTTGAAGCACAATTCCAGGCAATTTTTGAAGTTCTGACCACGGGTGCTACACATTTAATTGCCTCAGAATCTGAGAGGTCATATGACAATTGCATCGACCAAATAAGTTCGATCCTGAACCTGTCTAGTCTTTTGGCGGCATTTTGTCTGTCTGATGGATCACAAGCCTGGCACACTGCATGTCTGGCTTCTCTCACCTTCGCCTGTTGTACTGATCTACGAAGGGTATTTAAGCTAACAATAAAACCAAATGACACAAATTACAGTGCATAAATGATGTCATCATCGTTGCTGTTCCACAGCGCAACCCCGCAACCACCTTCGTCCCTACGTTCTGTTCCTTTGTCTTGTTTTTTTTGTTTTGAGCCCGCTCCCCCTCCCACTTAGAAGGACTTGAGGGGAAGCTAGTACCTACTAGTAAGCTTCTAGTAACTGGACGCAGGATAGCTCACGCACTATTCATTTGGTTCCTAGATTCTTAGGGAAACTTAAGGTACTTCTCCGAGCCTCAGCATCTTGTCGGTTGGACTCAATTGCGATGCGGGTGAGTCGAATTGCATCATCCTCCAAAAAGATTGAATGACAACTGGCACTCCGGGAAAAGCGTCTGTTGTGTTTTTCAAGAAAGCCGGAAATCTTGCACTCCCATTGCGCACCATGCGTCCCATAGAGCCGTAGATGGCTCCAAGATTCTTGCTGGCCAGGTTCATCTTGCTGTCAACCTGGAATTATTCTCTTACAAGTGGCGCATGAAAACGGCATACCATGTCGGGAGCATGTCCACTAGATAAGTGAGGCCGCGACCTAAGGTTTGCTGGGTCTTTTGCAAATCAAGCTGGCCGTCTACTGTTTCATCTATTATTGGTCCATTTGATCAGGGAGTCAACTTTACCATGGCATGCGCACGACCCCACAAAGCCTCTAAAGCACTTTCAAAGCACTTCATGGCAGCTTCTGCATTCCCCAGCCGCCTGCAGGGTCAACTTGATGAACGTCCAAACAGCAAATATGCCAACCACGAGTGCTTTCCTTCTATGTCCTACACATTTCAATGCGCCAACTCTGCAAAGGCAAAATATCCTGCATGTGTGGAGACTGTCCCTATCAATCCCCGGATTCAGTGGGAGTTGTTGTGGTTCATGTTCAATGAAACCTCTGGGTCTTGCGAGCATTTCTGCCAGCAACTTTGTAGTGCCAGGAGCTCAGGATCTTTTGCGCAATCGAGTGCCTTTTGCAGGGAGACAAACACATCCTGTTGAGGTCACAGATCCAGATAAGCGCAGCTTTGGCGCTTCCTTTGGATTGCCAAAGGAACACATGACCAAGTATTGGAAGCTTCAACATGGAACACATCTTCCTCAGTCAACAACCTTGTTGGCGAAACCCTCAATATCAATATTCATATTGGGCTGATACCGATACCGTTCTCACTTCTAACAAAGGCGTGTTTGAAAGCTCTCTCCTTTGAAGAGACTCACAAATTCACTCAAGTTGGCTCACGAAACATAGCAGGTGCTTGCTGAACAACACCGCCCAGGCTTTGGCTTCATAACAGCGTCCTCGGAGCAGCAGGCTGCGTAACTTGCAAACATGTACCTTCTTGGCACACCATCATAATTCTGCCATGGCTCCATATTGTGCTGGCCAGTGTTGTTTTTGTTGAACTCCTTGTTGACGTGCATACAGGTTGAAGGCAGCCTCTGGAAGCAAACCCCATCATTCTGATGCGCATGAGCAACAATTGAGTGGCAGAAACGGAAGTGAAGAGCAACAACTTAGCAAGAGGCGAGCATCTGGAAGTGATTGATTGACTTGCATGGCCTGGCTGTGCGTTGACTGGGGGAAGCACATATGTACATAATTAGGATTTTTTTAACATACACACAGAACTGAGTTGGATTCAGGAGAACCCCATGATTTGCAACAAGCCAAAGAAACGGCTTGGCAGCTGTGAAGCTGTGGAAGGCACGTAGATATCTTCAACCTGAAATAGCAATGCATTAATGCCACGATTGTAGGCTGTGCAATGTGCAAGTACTTTGCAGCCCCTGCCTCAAGCAAACCAGCCCGTCCACTTTGTCTGGTTTGCCCTTGCTTTTGGATCCCAACGGGCCTTGGTCCGCTCATGGTATGGCGGCATGATGCTGAAAAACACCTTGCACTTTGAGCCCCTCACATCGCTGCATCTCGCGCTGGGTTGCGGATCGTTAACAAGCTTGGGAAATTGCCATGTTCATGCTCTCGATGTATGCCATTCGTAGAGATTCGTTGAGCAGCCTCGTTCTCCATCCCATCAGCACTCCGTTTCGGCTTCGGGAGATGTGGTCTGATCTGAAATATAGTGGAGATGAAATGCATGACTGGCAACTGGCAAGGAGACAAAGTACCTTGAAAGTTGAAAGCACTCAAACCAAGCCCACTGGACAAGCCTATGAATCACGCCCAGGTTGTTGTGAGCGTTAGCATGTCTCGGATCGAAATGGTTTGCCAGCTCGTAGTTGACCTGTATCCCAGAAAGTCGGAAACAAACGAAAGCAAATGCTTGCTGCGACTTGCTCCTCTTCAACTGTAGCAAGGAGTGCTATTCTCTCATTCCTATCCACCACACTACCTGTTACCCCCACACCCGCACACCTCGTCTTCACAACATCAGCCATTAGTTGTTGTCATGGGATGTGCTTTCATGCTGAAGGCTATCTGCTAGCTTGCAGGTACACACTGTGTCAAGGTCTGTCTAAGTTACAATCACGATGTGCTCTTCCAATGCACCACCACCAGATGAGTTAGCATGCATGCATGAGGCGTTCGGCTAGGTTTAGCCGTTTAGCCTACTTTCTTTCTACCAAAGTGGTTCAGGGCAGCACTGTCCAAAGGATTGAGTAGGATCAAGCTTATAGCGAGCATTGACAGAAAAGAGCAATCTTATCACACAGCACTGGCAAACACCTGGAAAGAATGGCAGATCTCATAGCAGAACTATAACACACTACGACCATGTGAACAGGAACCAAACTGCTCGATCCTTGAATCTTAAAGGCCAAAATGGTTGACCCAGCGAGCTCATGAGCTCACCAAGTGTGGGTACTAGATCCAACTAGATCCTATTAGCGATGGCCTCCAACCCAGTAGCGATGGCCTCCAACCCAGTAGCGATGGCCTCACCAAGTGTAGGTACTAGATGTACTAGTGACTCCTCTCCTCACGATGAGAAGGGCAATAGAGGCAAGACTTTGCTTGCGAAGGTACGAAGGCGCCAAATACATCAAAACAGAAAGGAACAAGTGCCACGCTAGTAGTAACAGGTGCCACGCTAGTAGTAACAA